AAACAGATAAGATAAGATAAGAACACTGAATAGATAAGACTCCCTACTAATCCTACTACTGAAACAGATAAGATAAGAATGCTGAATAGATAAGATAGAAGTATATCTAGTTGGAATTAGATAAGATGAGAACTGAGAACACCCAATTACTGCTGCTGCCGGCGGCTATACTTCTTCCCAATAAACGCGTCCACATTATTACTCCCCTCCTGGACTAAGAGCTTGTCCTCAAGCTCGAAATCAAGATATGTGTCTTGAAACTCAGTCAAAGGAATCCAGGATAGGTGGAATGATTTTGCCCTCCTGGATCGGGTTCCAATGAAGAGGGTTCATCCTCATCTTCCTCTTGTTCCACCAAAAGGCATTAAAGTCTCTTGCACTTGTACCCTGCTGAATAAAGTTCATCACAATTAAAACATTGTCCCCTCGCTCTGCGTTCCGCTATCTCAGCCTTGGACAAGTGCTTAATAGGAGGTGCCACCACACTGCTTCCCAAACTGGATGTCGATCTGGAATCGTGGCTCGGCTGTGGTTTCTATTCCCAGTTGGCTGCAGAAGATGGGGCCATGCCGAGTGGTTTCGGGGGTGCCCATGCTGTTTGAGGCCTCCCCATACTGATACTTCCGCGGTTGAGTTGCAGCTTGCGTTCAAAAGCGCGAGCCAAATTCATAGCAGTAACCAGATTGGGGGGATTTTGCATTTCCACATCCACCCTCAAAGTTTCTGCTAACCCTGCGGTGAACATGTCGACTACTGGTCTGGTCGTACCGATGATGCTCTTGCAAGGAGGGTCTGAAACTGACGCTGATATTCAGCCACTGTTCCCGTCTGTTTGAGGTTGATTAGTTCACCTAATGGGTTGCTTGTTAATGGCGCCCAAATCTGAGAAGGCAGTAGGATTTGAATTGGGTCCAACTGAGCCCGAGTTCCTCCTGCTCTAATCTATAAAACCAGAGTTGTGCCTCCTCCGTCATGTGGAATGTGGCTAAGCTTACCTTGTCTCTGTCCTCTGTCTGTTGGTTGCGGAAGAACTGCTCACATTTGTACAGCCATCCCAACGGATCTCCCGCGCCGTTATAGGAAGGGAACTTTAGACTGTTGTATTTGGGAACAATCGTGGCTCCCTGGGCGACGACCTGCCGCTCGCCGGACGATTCTGCCGTGTCTGGACGGCGGCCGTTTGTGGTTGCATCCCCTTCTGGATTCCTCTCCTTGCTAGAAAAATAAAGCTCCATCATGCGCCTTAATTCTCGGACGTCTTCCTTGATCCCGCGCACCTCCGTGCTGTTTTCCGCGAGCTTGTGCTCCAGTTCATGAACCCTAGTCGTCAACTGCTCAAGGTCACCCATGACGCCTTGCTCCGATACCAAATTGTTATGGGCCCGTGAATAGGATCTCGTCATGGGTCGGTCCACAGGGAAAACCTCTTGTTTTCCCTTGTTCCTCCCTTTTCTTGAGGAACCTATCTTGGCGCCTTAATGGTGATTTATTCAAGAGATCACCAACTCTCCTTTGCTCTTTCTTGACTGAAATTTTCGATGCCTTTATTGAATATTATCAGCTCCTTAAATAGGAGATTACAAGAGATAAGARTCCTACTTTTAGGAAGACTCCCTACTAATCTATACTACTGAACAGATAAGATAAGAACACTGAATAGGTAAGACTCCCTACTAATCCTACTACTGAAAACACATAAGATAAGAATGCTGAATAGATAAGATAGAATTGTATCTAGCTGGAATTAGATAAGATGAGAACTGAGAACACCCAATTACTGCTGCTGCCGGCGGCTATACTTCTTCCCAATAAACGTGTCCACATCATCCATCTCATCAGCTAAACCCACTTTATGATTTTGTTGTCCCAGAATATTCAAAATTCTAAACATGCAACAGTCACACACATGCATGATATGAGATATTAAAGAGAAACTGTGCATGAAAAAAGAAACATAAGTACCTTATCTACAAAGCCATGGATCACTAAATTTGCCTTCTTGTCCTTTGGAGTTTGCTGTATTTTTTTCAAGGAAAAAAATGGAACTACATCAGGAACTAAACATATGAAAACCTGCATCAAACCATTTCAGTATTTCCCTGGCAGGAATGCAACCATAGAAGTTGAAATACAAAAGAAAAAAATGGGCATCAGTGTTATATTATCCACACCACCCAAAAAGGGCTTTATAGAGTTAAATTTTGATGGTAACAGCTTTGGGAACCTGGGACCATCAGAGTCAGGGTTTAGAAATAAATACGGTTATGTAATTGCTTTATTCTCAGCTCCAATTGGAGAGAGAGAGAGAGAGAGAGAGAGATTCTATACCACTGAGTTTATGGCTGTGATTCAATGTGTGCAGAAGTAAAATGAAATGAATCTGAATAAATTGCTTATACAAGGTGAATCCAAGATGATAATTAGTTGGTTTCTGAACAAGAAGGGTGTTCTTTGGTCCTATAGAAATGAGCTCAAGAAGTTCAAGTGGATGATTAGAAATATCCAAGCAAAGATTACCAAGGCCAGCTAAAGGCATGCCTGATGCATTAGCTAAACAAGGGTTAATAGATATCAGTTTCATTGGTCGGAACTTTGGGGGAGGGATCGTTGTGTATATGCTCTTTCCTAGTTGCATGTGTTCTTCGGGTTTAGGTAGCTGATACTAGCCTATTTGCTGTAATCTTTATAATTAGCACTGTATATTTTTTCACTAATGAATACATTTCACAGTTGCCCATCAAAAAAATATATTATATCAGATGGATACTTTTCTGTTGCCTATTGGGAACATTTCCAAATTGAGAATTAATATTTTCACCAGACTTGGATTTCTATACACACCCAACCTTGGGATGGGGTCCACCCGAATGAGCAGTTCAGATTACATGCCAAGTGTTTTAACTTTTTTTATAAATAAGGTGAACTATTATTAATTGAAGAAAAAGAGGCAGAGACACCTCAATACAATAAGGCAACAGAAGAAAATGAACAGATAAGTGATCCAGCAAGAGAGGCAACCCCATCTAATAGCAAGGTTAGGTGTGTATAGAAACACTTTTAGAGTGCAGAATGCTGGAGGCAGGGATTGATATTAATTTGTAACTGCACTAAGGAAATTCTGTTGTATATTGGAATTAGTCAGCCAATGCTTGTTTTATTAATTGATACGTCCCAACTTCTCTAGATAATGGGGAGTAGTGGTGTAATTCATTTTACACAAAAGTGATAATTAAAATTTTACATTGTTAATGATCATGCTACCTCAATAGACAATCTAATTAGGAATTCAGAATTATAGACTTTGATAATAATAAATAATAATAATAATTTTATAAACAGTGTATATATTTTGTTACTTTGGGAGCTAAGATGGACCAAGAAGGAAGAAGGGTATACCTGAAGATTTACAATTACAACCTTCCCCCCTCCGCGGATGGATCTTAAAGGCAAGTTGCATGCAGGAGTAATCTGCAAACTGCACAGATCATTTAGAAACATCAACATCTAAGTGAACCCATAAAAGGAGAAAATATGAACAACACAGAGTATCCCAAGGTGCAATTTGTAATTAGAGTTGCACCTAAATATCCATATTTGACTAGGCTGACTGTATAACTAGATAAAGCACCCTCTTAAAATTTACTAAACAAATGGCATATATGGTGTAAGGATCCTACTTCAAGAAGTTCCTATAAGACTGCCACTTCCCAGTCTTTATTTCGTACTTTAAATCATGCTGAGGCAATGAGATTAATGCAATGTTTTGGGACTTCTTGGAAAGAAGAAAATAGCTCATTGCCAACTCATTACTCACATTATTTATTTTTTAAAATAAGTAGAAATCTGCAGAAAATAAAACATTATAGAAAGAAGAGAAAAAGTTGGAAGAGTTTTGTGAGAGAAAAGAAGAAGAGAACTGAAGAAGGGAAGAGAACACAATCTAATCTGGCCGCCCTCATTTATACTTTACATAAAAAATATGTACAATGACAGATGTGCCCTTAATTGGGCAGCTGACGCAAACAACTTAAAAGAAACATAAAAAACACTATTCTAACAACTTCTAATCAATGGGCTGTTGTCCCAACTTACTAACTAAAGAAATAAAAAATAAAAAACAAGATAAAAAACTGTAAAAATCTCAACAAAAATCAATATTGGCCAGTGTTTTAAAAGCACAAGGCACAAGGCAAGGCACGCGCCTTTTTGAAGCAAGGCAGAAAAATACAAAAAGAAAAACTGCTAAAAATCAAAAAACAAGTCGGAAAATTCAAAAAAAAAAAACAAAATATCAAAAATATTAAATATAATATTAATAAGAAATATAAACTTAAGTTTTAAAATTAATGGTTTAAAAAACCTATTATCTAAAATTAAAATACAAAAACATAACATGTAAAGCATATTCAAATGAAATTTTGAAAATAAAATCAACATATAAAGCGTTTTCAAGCATGTAAAGCCCACAATCTCTTTTTTTCCTCAATTGCATTAGTTCAAGTAGCTAATGTGATGTAAAACATATTACATTCCTGATTCTACAAGTCGCCTTTGTGCCATGCCCCTAGGCACACCAGGTGTGCACCTTTTGGAAGCGCTGCGCCTAGGACCTGGGCGAGGCGCCTACCCTAAAATGCACCTTGCCTGTGCGCCTAGGCACGCCTTTTAAATCACTGATATTAGCAAGCTTGTTTATCAGAAATAATGGCAATAATTATTCCTAATAAAAGGACAAATGTACAAAACAAAACTGAGAAGAGGCCAAATGGCCCCAAATTAACATACTGCATCAAAATATATGAAACAATAACACTGGGGCCAGCATATGATGCAACATAGATTTTTTGTTTTTTGATAGATAATGCAACATAGATTTTTCATTGCTAACAACTAACAACAAATTTTGTTAATGTAGAAAAAGAATGATATAATATATGTGTGTGCCAAGAACCCCTTGGTGTGAGAGGCTAATCCCAATTACCTATCCCTTCATCCAAGCCTTAAATGCTAGTTACACCCATCTACCCTCCTTGGACTTTCTACATCTCCTGGAGGAACCCACCTACACCTAGAAAGCGAGAAGAAATCCCAAATGCTAGCTACAAACGAACAGGAGATGAGTAGATAGAAAGTAGACTTACAGCTTGCTCTACATAGAAAACGCATATGGGGGACAAATACTAGTAAGGCCTCCTCATTTGAAAAGTGTCTTAAATATATCTTCAGGTGTATAATCTCCCAATAGATGATAACATTAGGTGACATGATCCTTCCCATATGGCCTTCAGTTATGTTTTCACAATTTTGTTATAAAAAATATTTCAAAAAAGTCGTAAAAATAAAAATGACAAAATTCTGAGGGTCCTTCAAGCTATGAATAAAAATTGGACTGGCATGGATCAGATCAGATATACCTAGATTGAAAATTGAATTTTATCATTGAATAAAAACTTATTCATCAGGTTTAGATTGAACTTGGATTGAATATGGAAATTGAATACCATTAGTAAATCAAACTAAAAATAATCAGAATATTACATATTATTAATAAAATAAACCAAAAAAAAAACTCGATACCATACATCATGAATGCAATGGCTTGAAAATAAATTTTATAAGGCTTGAACTTAAAACTCTTTCATAAATATACAATATCAAAATTAACTTTACTCATAGATATTAATTTTCTTATGAGTATAGATAGATATTAATTTTATGTTGATACAAGTACAAATATAGATAAATGTAATTCTGTCCTGGGTCAGCTTCTATGCTGATTTCTTTTGCAACTTCATGTTGTATCCTAAAGCACCTTAATTAATGAAATTTTTTCAGAGTTATTGATCAAAAACAAAGTACAAATATAAAAGTTTAAATATTATCAAATCAGATTGGAGTACATCCATGTTTAATTCAATTATAAAGGGATGGAATTCAGAATGCTTTAATCTAACAAATATTTGGAATTCAAATTCATATGTAGCTCTTCCTTCAAACATAAAATAGAAAGTAGCACCCCCATTTCCTGTATTTATATCTTTGTCCATGTTAGTATAGGTATTTTGGTATCATAGCTAATATGTAGTGGGGAAATACACAGGATACAGCTGAACCAACAGACTTACCATACACAGTGTGATGAACAAGGCACATTCAGCCACATGACTGATACTGAACCTGTAGGCTTGGAGACCCCAATACAAAACTGCCACCCCTTACATTATGGCCCCATTTGTTTACAAATTTCTCACTTACCAAGGTAGATGTTTCCTAGATAACACTTACCCATATTCTTTTGATTGCCAGGCAAGTAATATAATGGCCTTTTTACCCATAAAAAGCTAATATTAAAATGGACAAAGTTGTCCCATCATGTTTTATAAACTTTCCCCCCATGTGGGAAATTTACTTACCCACCTAGGAGATGGGTAAGTTTTACCCGGGTAAATGAAGCCTCCTTACCATGGAGCACAGTACATAATGCAAAAAGGACACTGTAAAGTTGGTCAATGGGAAAGAGATACCCATTGACCAACTCTCCCCCTTTTATTTACTGGTAAACGAACAGGGCCTACAAGTTAATCAGTTTTCTTAAACTGATATGAAATATCCAAGTTTGTACTATTGATTTATTAAGTGTCTAACTAAAAAAGGTGTACCTTGTTGCATGTAAGATTCCCAAAGTTGTTTAGACTTACCCACTATAAAGACTGACTAGCAGAAGTGCAGAACCCTATCTACATTTGGACAGAGGGGGAACTTCAAATATTTGGTCAAAAATAAGAAAGAATATGACCTTCAAAATTTATCACCAGTCTTCTTAAGCAGCTAACTTGTCAGGTTAGATCAGTCTTGTATTGCCCAAGAGCTTCTTAGAGCTGTGCCAATGGCCCACTTTCACACAAAGATCCTCTCATATTATTGATTTCCTAGATCAAGGTAGTTGATTGAAAACAGAGTATACTAGAATTTGTAATTTATAAATCAAGCCTTACATTCCATTCTCTCAGATGGCTTGGTGTTATTGTATTTACTCAAAAGATTTGGAACCAACTTAGGTACCCCCTCCCCTTCCAATTCATGGTCTCCAGTTGGTAATTTCTCCACAAGATAATCAGTAATATATCATTTAATAAATATATATATTATCAGCAACACAGAAAAGATTTCATTAATTAGAAAAAATCATGGATACAACAAGTTGTGAAAGAAACCAGCTTTAGTAAGCTGACCCAAATCAAATTTACAATTGAGCCCAAAACAGATGTGTTCTTTGTACCCCTTGCTTAGCTAAGCTATCTGCCAAGCTGTTGGCAGATCTCCTCACCCATCTCACACAGATTGAATGTCCCTTGACAGCCATTTAAATCTCCTGACTTCATTCCTCAACTGCCATGTCACCCCTTCCCCCCCCTTCTGCTACCATTTTATCACAGTTTTCGGGTCTCCCTCAATGATCAGTCTATTTATCATTTAATAAATATAAGCAGAAAAAAGCATGGCAACTAAAAGAAATCTAGAGGAATGCGCTTTCTATCAAATTCATAAAACATAATGTAAATCCTAATAGAAAGATCTGATCAGCTAATTAATAGGAAACACAGATATGATGGCAAAAGAAGTTGCAGAATCCAATAAATACCTGGTCCCTAAACATAATACAACATCAGCCATCCTGCAGTGCTTTTCTGCCAGATTCATCTCCTTTGGAGGCAATGCATCCTGAGAGGAGAGAGAAGGAACAAAAAAAGATTGAAACAAATTTAGTATGACCTTGAACTTCAAGATTAGTTAAAAATGGCAATTTGACCAGTACATTTTTTGATAGACCCACTAGTGTAATTCTTTCACAACTGAAAGTAACATTAAGACCAAATAACTGAATTAATTTAGTTGGGCCAATTCTGGGTAAGGTGTCTTCTATATGGAGTTCATGAAATCATATACCTCATCCCCCCATATGAGTGCATGCATAATGCTGAGCCATATCAGTGTTCTAAAAGCACAAGGCGCAAAAAAGGCGCAAGGCGCAAGGCGAGGCGCACGCCGTTTTGAGGCAAGGTGCACAAATAAAAAAAGAGCTAAAAATTGCAAAAAAATCAAAAAATTATAAAACATAATATTAATAAAAATATTAACTTAAGTTTTAAAATAAATGTTTTACAAAACCCATTATCTAAAATTAAAATACATAAATACAATATGTAAAGCATATTCAAATGAAAATTTAAAAATGAAATCAAACATATAAAACATTTTCAAGCATAAAAACCCACAATCTCTTTTTTTTTCTCAATTGCATCAAGTAGTTAATGTGACATATTACATTCCTAATTCTACAAGCTGCCTTTGTGCCACACCCCTCGAGGCAAGCCCAAACAAGTCCATGTTAGGGTCTTAAATATATTTCACACAAAAAAATAATAATTTTATAGTTTTAATTGCTTTTAAGAAGATATTTTATTAAGATGAATGAATGGACAACATTACCAAATAGGGGATTTCGCTCACTCACCGAAGCTTCAAGAATCCCCTATTTGGTAATGATGTCCATTCATTCATCTTAATAAAGCATCTGTTAGACAGTTATGCCCTTAGCTCCAATCAGATTGATGTATCTTATGACATTTATTGTAAATGAATAAAATACATAATTGATTCATGTCATTGTGGTGTGTTTCTATGTAATACCCTTAAACTGGACACTTATAAGACTCGTGTTAGTTTAGAATCTACACAGCCGTTGGATAGATTTAGGGAGATTTATCCTACCAAGGCTGACACTGATGTGCCGCCAAGTTGGTTGGGGTGGCTTGTCTCAGCTAACAAGGTGAGACCTGAGGTACATGCAGTGTGGGTTTTCTTGAAACCTTGAACCGGACCAAAATTCCAGTATTGCCCTGAACCTTGGAGATAGATGGGCAAAACTGGAATGTTACACCTGACCCTTAGACTCGATTATGGTACTTCACTAGGTGTCGGATTAGGCTGCCTTTGATATACCAATCAGTGAGATCCTTAGAAGGGATCAAAACCTGGGTATGTTGGGACAGTTCGAGAATTCATCTGAGTGGGTGATCATAGTGACAGGATCAGCCCCTTTGTCAGACAAAGTGAATGATCGAGGATGCACTCTCTCTGATGGAAATCTAAACTACCGACAGTTGATTTCAACCGTTGAAATTTGTTTTTGCAAAATATATTTATATAGAGATATACATATATATATAAATATATATTATGGTTTCAAAATGTTTGCAAAAGGTTTTAATTCTCGGGATCCATGTGAGTAGAGAGTGCAGCACTGTTCCTTGCAGCCAAGGGAGAGGTAATCTCTTGTCGGGCAGTGTTTGATCATTATGGGCTGAGAGGTTAAGTGTAAGACCATTGAGGGTAATACCTGATGGGCTAATCTTGCAACTGCCCATAGTCCTTGGGTTTTCATAAGGTGGTTGGGACCCAAGGACCATTTAGTGTAAATGTTGGGCCCATTAAGAGCCAATGGTGATGGACTCAGGGTTCACTGTGTCCTACAGTGAATTCGGCCAAGCCTTGTAACAAAAGTTGGGCTGAACCCATGTGGCTGATGTGTAGGAAAATGTTTGGGTCCCACGCCATACAAAGAGAGCCAACTAGGCAGCAAGTTAAGAGGTTAAGTGAGCACATAAACTTAAAGGGCCTAAAGCCCAATTCGAACTGGGCTTAAGTTAGTTAAATAAAAGGAGGCAAGATAGGATTTATAATCTAATTAAGATTAGCTGAAGGATAAGATAAGTCTTATCCATTCAAGAGTCCAGATCCAAATATCATATTTGGATTAAGGAACTCTCTCCTGATTAGATTAGGAGGTTGATCTTGAGAAGGCTATAAATAAAAGGGGTGAGTTCCTTAGTGATACAACACAGCAACCTGCAGAATTCTCTCCTATTCTTGCCATCTCTACCCAGTTCGATCTCCTCTTGAGGAATTGATCCAGAAAGGTTCTTGATATTGTTTCTTGACTGAAGAAACAATCTGAAGTCGTGCTCACCAGCCCTTGTACGATTCTTGCTGAAGGATCCTGGTTCTTGCTGAAGAGCCATCCTACTGATCCTACTTCATTTCACACTGTGTCTTCGGTGGAAGCAGGTTTTGGTATTCTCCTTGGGCGTAAACACCTTCATTGGGAGTTACTATTACTTCGTATCAAGTATATCCCTCTCCTCTATTTTGGTTTCAGATCTGGTCTGGTTTTGGATTCAAGAACAATCCTTGAAAATGTAGTTTTCTAAAATAGGGAATGCGATTCCTAGATGGGAGAGAGAAATTTTTGAAATTTCGCCCAACCTTCAACATCTTCTTAAAAGCAATTAAAACTATAAAATTATTTTTTGTGTGAAATCTAAGAATTTAAGACCCTAACATGGACTTGTTTGGGCTGGCCTCGAGGGGTATGGCACGGGGGTCCGGGGGCGGAGCCCCAAGCCCAGCGGTCAGATTCAAGAAAAAGGAAAAAGCGGCAAATTTTCAAAAGGCGCATGCCTAGGCGCACTAGCCGTGCGCCTTTTGAGCACCTAGGCGCACCTTTTAAATCACTGAGCCATAACAATTGAAAACATAAGCAGTCTACCTAGTGTACATACAGCCTATCCTTTTTTTCTTTCCACTTTAAATCCACGATAGTCCACAGAACCATGCAGGCTTCCTCTTTTAAGTATCTGGATACAAATTCTACCTAGAAGTTGGAACTTGGAAGAAAACACAACTTCGACCAAGTATAGTTTCTGAGTTGGTAAATTCAGGTCCAGTAGGAGTTGGAGATTCCTTAAGAGCGGAAATCTTGGCACTACATCAAGGTGTAAAACTGGCCAAACAATTGGGGTTACAGCAGATTGAGATAGAGGGAAACTCCAAGTCTAATAAAAAAAATGATATCATCATTTTCAATTAAGGGGGTGACTTATGGAGAGTGAGGAATCTAAAGAGCTTGATAAGTTACTTTGAAGTGTCTCTAATTGAAAACTAAACCTGGATAAGAGTTGTGTAGTGGGAATAAATTTGGATGAAGGGACCATTGAGTCCATTGCTGAGTGCTTAAATTGTCAAGTGGCTTCTTGGCCTCTGTCTTATCTTGGGCTCCCTTTAGGTGCTAACCCGAAGGAAAGCAGTTTTTGGACTCCAATCCTAGAGAGGTTTGAAAAAAGATTAGCTACTTGGAAAAAGAAAGAACTATATCTCTCTAGGAGGTAAGAGTAACATTGTTAAGACCCACTCTAGCTAACTTGCCAAGTTTATTATCTCTTTGTTTTTAGAATCCCCTCTAGGGAGGCAAAGAAGTTGGAGAAGAAAATGAGGAATTTTCTATGGTAGCTAGGGGAAGAGAAGAAGGATTACTTAATAAGGTGGGATATAGTGTGTGTGTGTGTGTGTGTGTAGAAGTAGGGAAGAAGGTGGATTGGGGATAGGAAATTTAGTCTTGAAGAATACAGCTTTGTTAGGTAAGTGGCTATGGAGATGGCCCTTGAAAAGAGGGAGATTATGGCATGAGGTGATAGCTAGTATTCATGGCCACTCAAATAATGGTTGGGATGTTGGTGTTTCTCAACAGGCTACTTTGACAACTCCTTGGAAAGCGATTCATAGCATCCTTCCCCAATTTCTTAATCTCGTCAAGTATGATGTTTGCTCAGGGATTTCTGCTCTCTTTTGGAAAGATAAAAGTGGGAAATTCAGCCTTAAAAGACATTTTCCCTCCTCTCTACTCTATTTCCTTTTTTAAGAATAAGGTCGTCTCTAATTTCCATTCCTCCCCCTTTTTGCATGTCTTTAAATTGGGATTTTGGCTTCCGTCGGGGCTTGAGGGATGCTGAAGTTGGTGATGTTTCTCAACTTCTTTTGATTCCTATAATGTTTTTTTGAATCCTTTACAATCAGACAAGAGGATTTGGTCCCCCCACCCAAAAGGCTCCTTTTCTTGTGCCTCCTTTTTGAAAGTCCTTTGTTCTTCCTCCATTGAGTTGGTTTTTCCTGTAAAGGAGCTTTGGGCTAAGCCTGTTCCCTCCAAAATTATCTTGCTTTGTTGGGAAGTGTTTTATGGGAAAATCAATATGCTAGACCTCTTACAAAAAAGGAGGCCTTTTATGTGCTTGTCCCCTAGCTGGTGTATTCTTTGCAAAGTTAATGGTGAGGACTGCTTCCACTTACTAATTTCCTGCTCCTTTGTTGTTGCTATTTGGGATTGGATTTTTGCCTTATATGGTTGCAGGTGCCAGGTGGAATTTACCCACTGATGTAAGTCTGCTTTTTGACCTGTTAGTCTTTGGATGGCCCACAAAAAGAGGGAGGGTCATGTGGAAATGTATCAGAGCAGCTACACTTTGGACAATTTGGGAGGAAAGGAATGCAAGAATTTTTCAAGAAAAGGAACGAAGTCTCCCGAATATCAAAGAGTGTATCTTAATAAGGGCAATTCATTGGTTGAGAACTTCAGAATTCTTCCATTTGTTCTCCTTTGATGACTTTAGAAGGAACTGGATAGAGGTGGCTAGTACCTCCCTCAAGAAGGAAAGGACATCTATAGTATGGAATCCGCCACCGGAAGGTTGTGTAAAATTGAACTTTGATGGAAGCAGTCAAGGAAATCCTGGCCCCTCAGGTATAGGAGGGGTTTTGAGAGATAAGGATGGTAATATCTTAGTCCTGTACTCGGGCCCAATGGGAATAGGACACTCAAATAGGGCTGAATTGTTGGCAGCTTTACAAGGTATTCAGATTGCTAATTAACTTGGTGTTGAGAACCTTCAAACTGAAGGTGACTCCAAGACTGTTGTAGGCTGGTTAACAGATCCAAACTCAAGTATTTGGTGCTACAAGATCCTATCAAAAAATGCCTACTGGTTACTAAGAAACATGAATGTTAGCATACAATGGGTTGGCAGGTCTTGATCCTTGGTACTATGTGATTTTTACTTTTTAAGGGAGGTCGCACCTCGTGCCTCTCAGTGGGCTGCTTGTAACAATTCTCATATTTTCTTAATAAAATTCTTCTTCAATTATCAAAAAAATAAAAGACAGAGCCTTGAAAGATGTACCCATGCATGCCAATAACACGGGACAAAATGTTTTTGGGTTGTAAGCCAGTTTGTTAGATGTACTTTGGAGCTGAAATAGTATAGTTTCTCACTAAATGGAGCTGTCGCTTCATTGGCGGCTGCAATTTGGCTCATAATTTTTCTTTTTATTTTTCTCTATTAATTCATTGTCTTTTTCAAAAATAAATACAAGAAATATCATGCATGTAAGCATGATGAACTAAAAGAATGCAACCAAAAAGTCACAAGAGTAATTCATCAAAAAAAAAAAAAAAGTCACAAGAGTATGTGCATTTCCATGTAAACTTCCTTTGTGTTTATAAGAAATATCTGATAACCACTTCAGCAATTATTTAGTGGACATCAAAGTAAAAAACAAGAAATCAAAAGATCAAAACAATGAATTTGGGAGCAAAATGGTGAAAAACAAAAACAATATCGGATTTGAAGTAATCATTTAGGCTTTAGAAACTCTCCCCATTAAATCTTCGGCTTTAACAATATTACCTAAATTTTTGAAATTTTGTATTTCTCTGGCCTCAGATATCACTGATATTTCAAGGTTTGGAACAGATCAATATTTTAGGGATACATTTCCAATACTTGTGATTATTCAGATTCCCCATAGTTTGTGTCACTCCTTCAAAAAGGAGAAATATAACAAAGGGTTGACCCTCACAATTGGTTTCCATTCCTAAAAGATGTTTCTTCACAACAGAAAAAAGAAAATATAACTTTGTACATCTTAACATTTTTTTTGAAGATCAATAAAGGAAAAAAAAATTATTACTAAAAGAAACAAATACAACATCTTAACATTTTAACTGTAGGGCAACCAAGGAAAAGGAAAACAAGTTACCTCCCAATCAAGCACTGTATCCCTGAGCTTTGCACCACAATTAACATCAGAACAACGTCTAGATGTCTCCTTCATTCCAATAGTTTCCACCTCAAAATCCCGCAAATACCTTTAAATTAATACACACCAAACCCTAAGAGAATCAAGACAAATAATTTCCAAGTCTATACTCTGCACTAGAGACTAAAACCTAATTTCCCACTCAATCCATCAACTACAGTTTCCATAGCGGATAGTGCAAGTAAAATATCAACTTACTCTGCTCCACAAGAAGGGCAAAGTTCCCGGAAGGAGTTTCCATGTAATTCAGAAAGCTTCTCCCTTGGGATTCCAGATCGAAGATGAAGACTATCCACATTCTGGAAAGTATAAAAATTTTAAGGAGAAAGGTTAAATTAAAAAAAAAATAAAGTTGAGTATTTTTAACGATGATTAACATACAGGTAGATACTCATCTAGAAAGGATGCAAGGCTTAATGAGGTAAAAGCAAATAGTCAAGGAATGTGAAAAGAAAAGATACCAAAACAACTTATCTCTTTTTTTTATTTTTTTGAAATAACAGCTTATCCCTACAAGGTGTTGATAATACTGTCATGTTGAGGTTTTGTCAATCACTTAATGGCAAGTGAAATGTGCAGTCCATCCATATGCAGAAAAATATATGTTGAAACAGAAATGCTGTGCATTCAAAAATAGGACAATAGTATCTTCAGTTTCACCCTAGTGCCTTCTACAACCTGGCAAGCCAAACCAGGGTTTTGACTTTCAATATGCATGTACATTCAAGAATTTTGAGCTTTCATTTTGATTAAGCAAATTCAAATTTTCAACAGAGTTCCAGTTGAAGGATATATAAAGTTCTGTACTCCAATGTAATTTGAGAATCTCAATCAGATTTTTCAAGGAGCAAGAAAGTGACGCAAGATTGAAATTAAAAAATAAAAAATAAAAACACTAAGATGGCATATCTCTGTTATTAGAAAAAAAAAATAATATATACAAAAAGAACCCATTAAAATGATACAGGTCAAAACAATACAAGGACTTGAGATTCAACAACCTCAATGATGCCCAACTCCAATAGAGTGCTCTGCTCCTCCTACTCATTTGATTAGGGCAATTCAATCAAATGTGGCATTTAAGGACAAGCCCAAAAATTAGACCAACATCTCTTCAGCAAGACAGTTTTGCATTCCATGGAAACATGCAAAGAAAACAAAATAAAAGAAAAAGAAAAAAGAAAGGGGAAGAGGAAGAGGAAGAGGAAGAGGAAGAGGAAGAGGAAAAGGAAGAAAGGGCATGAACATCCCTAATTCATTTTTTGATAAGATGAAGGTAAGGGAACGTAAAACATCTGATTTGTATAACTTTGCCTTCAGATAATGTAAAAAAAAAAAATTCAGAGTTGCAGAAAAAAGAATTCAACAAACATCTCCAAGATCATATTTCTCTTACCAGAAGATGCACAGTGCACAATGGATATTAAATATTAATATCCTATGTCCATAGGATAACAACAATGTGAATATACCTGGCTAATGAGAAACTTCAAGATACCAGCTTTCTCTAGTTCAACCAATGCCATATGAGTCACACTTGGCATTGCCCGGTGAAATGGTAGTGATGCTTCAGGGACACCTTTGCCTTCACGCTACAACTCAAAAGGGAAAAGCAAAAAATCATAACAAGTAAAAAAAATTCTAACAAAGAAATCGTGTTTTTTTATCAGTAATTTGTAAAACATTTTTTATGACAGAGAAAGAAGTATATGGTGAAACTTGGGCAAGCTTGGCAGAGCATAGCTTAAAATTTGAAGGGGCCAACCACGAGAGCCCGGTCCCTGTGCAGTGTAAATTCTTCAAATCTGGGTAACCAGCATGCACCCCCATCCTCAACTATGCCCAAAAGAGCCTAATGAAGCTGAATTTTAGTCTAAAGGATAATCATCCTACTTTAGGCAATGTTTACTTGACTTTTTTTTTTATAATTGAAGTATGATTTTATTAGCATGATATGAGAACTACTACAAGCATCCCAAGGAGAGGCATGAGGTGTGGCCTCTCCTTACAAAAGAAGATTACGGTTTAGGCAATGTCTACTTAGCTTCACAGACCAATGAGTCTACCATGGGAGTTGGTGGGGGGGGTGCGAGGAAAATCAGCCTTCAGTCTATGATCCAGGTATTTTGCCTCTCAGATCTTAAGTATAAGTCCATGGCCCCATCATTTCACCTCTCAGCCAACCTATTGCAATTTTAGAGTCCCCTTCAACAATCAAGCCACTAAAACCCGATGACATTGCTAATCTCAAATCTACAATAACTGCTTATAATTCTATTCTAAATGAGTTCCCAACTCCTATTGACCCTGAGAAACCAATATAACGCCTCCCGTGGCCCCCCCAAAAGGCACCTCTTATACCTAAATCCCCAGGATTCCCAGACCATCAAAATTCAATTTTAGCATGTTATGTGGAGGATGAGTCAGTGCAATAGTATATATTTCCCTTCTAACATTGCTGCTGCCACCATTCACCATCCTCTAAGAAATATCATCCATAGACCAGTATGAGAATTCCTTCCTTTGTCTTCACCCAATTAGTAGATATGATTTCAATCAATCCAATATTGAATCTCTGGATTGTTGTTTATTTGAAAGGATCCTAGCATTTCATTCTTCCCAAATTATCCATGGGATGGCTGCTTTCATGCATTCCCATAATATTTTCCTATTTTTGTGGAGAGAAAATTTGGCCAAAATGTGTATATATCAAGCAAAGGTCACCATCTAGCAACCCCCCCCCAAACAAAAAAAAAAACGGTATTCTTAGATACTGCTAGCAAAAGAATAGGAGATCAGAAGTGGATCGCAAATTGAGAAAGGAGGCATTAAGTGTGGTGATAAGGTCCAAGTATTCCCCGAGTACAACCTCTTGTTGTACAGGGAAAATCTACCCATTCCCTTCGTGCTGTTTAATATAAATATATACCCTTTATCAGAAAAAAAGGGCCTTGAGAAAAGCTATAGAAGAAAAAGTAGCCAAATAGTCAATTCCTCAAAGTCTACCATCTTAAAATTATGATCCAACCAAACATCCTCTAAAATTTCTAGAAGCAAGAGTGTAAGTCTATGATCCTTGAGACCCCTATAAAAACCATAACAGAGAAGTATTGGACAAAGACACAAAACAAGATTATAGGGTGTTTATCAAGGCTAATCTACCTAGTCCATCTCCCAATACTAAACACCATTCCCCATTTTATAAGATGATCCCTCCTAGAATCTCCCAATTCCCACACCCAAAAAAAAAAGATGAATCAGTTCCTACAAAATAACCCTCATTATATGCTCCAATCTCTTATTCACCTTTATAGGGGCTCTAAAGCCTAGGGATGTCAGTGGGTTGGGCTAAGTGGTAAAACCCACCTTGGGACCCAACCCTATCAAGTCAGGATCGGGTCTCAGCCCTCAGGTCGGGTTCATTGACATGGTATAGGAGTATTATCCATGAGAAGGGGCAGACTGGACTTGGATCCCATTTTACTTGGTCAGGTTAAGCAAAACTTGTACCAAAACTCAACCCATTGGCAGCCAACCATGGTTCAAAGTATCAATACACTCGATACACACAAACATCCATATTGGGTGTTTCAAGACTACCAAAAACTAACCTTTTTTACTTCTATATTTTGACCAGGAGCCCGTTTAAATATTATTTAACATTTAAAATGTGAGATTTTGGAAAAGCCTTAAAAAAGGCATACTGGTGACCTCTCAATACAATATGATACCAATACAGGGTGTATCATATAAAAATTCTGAACCTTGCATCCAACTAACGGTTGAGAAAAAGTAGATTAGGAAGTGGGAAAAAGTATATTTTGAGTGTGATTGCTACAAATCAATATAATTTCACCTCCAATATGCTAGTCTCTTTGTAAATCTCTGTACCATAGGCTCCCAAAAAGACAAGGGTCTATGACTACATCCAACAAGTAGTTCTAGATAATTTTGGGTAATAAAAGAAAACTTTTATTAAAATAAAAGAAATGACAGGATACAAAGGAAGGTGACCAGCAATCACCCACGAGAAGAAAAGAGAACAATATATGCTACTAAGAGAATACAAGTAGTTCCAAGTTATTCACTGACCAAGAGAATATAAAACAGCCAAGGATATCAATACATGCTACTATGCTTTGGATTTATTGTTCTTTCAAATGGCTAGGAAAAAGTTAAAGTATATAGCACAGATCATGAAGAGCATGTGATCCCACTATTTCAGGCTTCATAGGTAAAGTATATAGCACCCCCCCCCCACACACACACACACATGAGCCATGTGTATATGCATACTACTATGGTTAGATTGGATAAGATAAAGAATCTACAAATGGAGATACCTTATGTTTCCCTTTAAACTGGGAAGGGGGTGTCTTGAATAACTTCCCTAACATAATAAATCCCGATTCATAAATTGTTCAATAAGCCCAAGGTTTTCACCTGAAGTGTCCAAACTCCTTTGGGACCACGAAAATCAGGTATACCACAAGAGGTTGATATTCCTGCACCTGTAAATACTACTAGGTGTTTACTCTGCAAAAACAGACAAAACAATTAGAAAACATTAAATGGAACAGAACAATGTAACTAACCAAAAAGAGTTCAGATTTATGCCCTTGACAGAGCACAAGGGTAGGACAGGATTCATGTAGCCACAAGCATTGGGATTAAGGCTAAGTTGAGCTGAATTCAGTTTAAATGGAACAGAATCATATGCACATGCCCTTAAAAATGGTAATGAGAAAAAAGAATTGATTAATTTATTGGAAGTTCTAACCTTTTTTATCAGCATAGCGAGTTCCTCAATCTGTCATTCAACAAATTAAAACAGTCAGGACAAGCAAAACAGAGAAAAATACAGTACCATATCTCAAAAATTAGAAAATCCACTAAACAAATATAAGAAGATAACAGGAGAATCAAGAACCACAATACTCAACAAGACAGAACTAAAATAAATACTAGCATTTGTGAGGTGGAGATATAGATCATATCATTTTTTTATTCTGCTATTTTTTACACTTTATCTGCCAACCATCAGTGGCAGAGATTTTATCAATAACTTCATAATAGAGCCATCATAATGTCCAAAAAAGACATATTAAAAGCCAGATGCAGAGGAAGATTATAACTCAATTGTATGAGCTAACATCCAAGAGTTCATTTATCCACACTCATATACAACAAAGAAAAAATGTTGAGGGTAATTGATAACAAATGAAGATCCTACTTACGAACTCTAAGCAGACCTTAAATGACACCCAGCTTTACCAGATTCCTATCCACACCCATAGAAATGTTTTACTATCTGCCTTTACAGGATTCTGCTATTTCTTTGCGCATCCAGGCCTCGTACATGACAGCATCACATTGCCCACCAAGTAATGAAAGAATACCAGATTACACCAGTCTGTCATTTCCCCAACTGTAATCATCAAAGTTATGACCTATTTATATCTCATGAAGGATATGGTAACCCTTCAATCAACAGCATAGACAGTATAGCATCTGAATGAGTGGACTGGGGGGTTACGGGGGTATACAGGTATCTCCATACTCCTCCATACATACCAGACATTCTCGGTATTTCATTCTCAAATTGGCTTACAATGAACTTGCGGTTCCAAAAAAAAAAATCGAAGGAAAAACTTATGCATGCTTGAATCATACTTTCCTGATCAGAAACTTGCTCCCATCATGTATTATCTTCTTGAATAATTTATCAGCTAGAGTGTAAAAAAAAAAAAACGTAAGATAAAAGGTTTTCCCAACCTCCACGCTCCTGAATAAAGCCAAAACAACGATTTGGCATTGTTTGCTTCTTAAACAGCATAAATAAATAATTAAACAAGATACGGGAATCCAAGTTAACCTCGCTACGCATTAAGCATTTTCAATGTTCAACAATTTTGAACTGAAAGCAAAGTTATTAATCAATAGAAGAATAAAGGCGAATTACTCCAATGTTGCACATACAAAATCCCACACTGATCAAAACATCCAACAAAAAGCTAACACAATTTTAAGCCAACAGACTAGTTATACAGTAAACAGACGTACTATACTTTCCCAATTTTATGAATGGCTTATAAGTAAATTACATTAGTTCTGCAACTTTGGGAAGATTAAACTCTTCAATTGAACTGACAAGTATAACCCGATACAGAAACAACAAGAGCAAATCAGATAACTCGTTTGAGAAATACGGTAACGAGAGAAAAAAAACACACACTTTTTGTTGCAAAAGATCAGGTGGGTCGAAGATCTCGGACATTCCAACTGTGCCCACGTCTTCCCTGTAAGAAAGCTTCTCTGCATAACCCAGAGACATGTTGGTTTCTTTGTGGACACTCTTTTTCTCAACCCCCTCTGAAAGTTTCTTCGAACGAGAAGAGAAGTCGTAAGTGGGAGTGTTTTTTTTGTATGTCTCTTTGGCTCTCCCAAGTACGCAAAGCTTCTCCCCTACACAACAGGAAAGATTTCTATTAGAGAGCAATTGACAAAAATGCCCATCTTTCCAAAAGCACACATAATAAATGTTGATGTCCTTTTAACTCCTTATTACCCAACCCAAACGTTCCAAATAGCTTTCTCATACAAACCCTAAAACTTCAAATCTAGAGAGAGGGGAAGTAGAGAGAGTTGTTATTTGATGGAAACTTTAAACTTGGGAATCATGGCAGGGCCTGACAAGGTTGGACTTATCACCTACCGGATGTAAATAGGTCAAAGTTAAATGGTAACTTCATCTGGAATCACCCTTACATCATCTTGATTCACCCCGGTTAGGATCAGGCATATTATGGTTTATTGATTATTTAACTCAAATGGAGTGCAGGTTTGGTTGATTTGGCCAATCGGGTCATAATACCCTATATGTATTCTTGTAATTTTGTCTAACTTCTAACCCCTAACATTCAAGTTTATGATTTATTCTCATGATTGTTTTAATCCAATTTGAATTTAGGGGTAAGTAAGAGTTTTGATTAGGTTCAAATGTGGCTAACCCTTAGGAATGGTAACGGTGCAGGTTTGGGGTCAGGATCATATTCCCCGTCCCCAACCCCAACTTTGAAATAAATCATTCATTGACCCAACCTTGACCCCCCCATTGGAGATAAAAGTTGTCCTCCATCCTCAATCCTCAATGGAGATGGGTTCCTCACAAAGACCCGAATCCCCAAAATTTTTTAATTAACAATATTTTTTGAAAAAATAAATTTACTCAAAATAAGGAAATTTTTTAAACATATAGATAACATTTTAAATATATTTTGATATATATGTTCATATATAATATGCATAAATAATATCATATATAATAATAATATGCACTCAATATTTTATATATATAATTGGGGTTGAAGCATGGCAATGACTTCACTTTCCATCCCCGATCCCGTCCCTTGTCGGGATCCCTATTAAATCCCTATCCTCGTCCCCACCCCGCCAGGGATAGGAAGACTGGGTACCCAACGGGGAGTATATGATTTATTTTACTATTTGTTTGTGAGGTTTTTTTTTTTCTTTCACTTTGGAGAAGTGATATCTTGGAACCCATAACCCAATTTTCAACTTAAATTAATGGTTCTTGAGTTTTTAAAAAAATATCACAAAAAAAATACAATTGAAATACTATAGGACAGGTTTGGTTGGTGTGGAGTTAAACTTATAAACAATGGGTAGGTTTAGAAAATTGCATAGCATTGAGTTGGGTTGGGTTGGGTTTGAGTCAAAGCATGGGAGGGTTGGGTTAGAGTTGAATCAAACCGTACCAACCCGTTCAACCCTATAATGTTCAACAAAATACCAACCTAACCTATGTTGCAATCTTTCAATTGTATTTTTTGTAACGCATTTTGAAAATTCAAGAGCCATTAATTTAAGTTGGAAATTGGTTTATGAGTCATTGGGTTGACATCCTTATTCTCATATGCTCTATTTTTATTTTGTATGGAGTTTTTCGAAAGAAAATGAAGTAGAAAGGGCCCTGTGACAGTCTTAATTTGGTGTGATCATGGGCCAAGTTATGTATAGGCCTAATATAGAGATTAATTAATGTATTTATTTTAAATAGAATTCAATTTAATAAAAAAAATAGTTTTAAAGTTAACTCATAGCAAATTTAATTTTATAAGATTACTATTTTTATTTATAAAAATTATTACAAATTACTTTTATTTATAATATCAATAATTTAATTGGACTTTCGATTAAAAAAAGTTATTATAAAATTAAATGAGAGATACAGACAATTTTTAACAAATATGAAAAAAGGTAACGTTTACTAGCATCATTGTAAATAATTAACAGTGGTACCATTGTAAATAATTACATGTTTAGTATTAAATATAAAAGACGAAAAGGAGAATGGACAAGTTATGATTTTTTTATTCAATGGTATCATTGCAATTGATTAAATTTGTAATGATAATGGTTAAAAACATGAAAATGGAAAGATTATAAGATTTCATTTACGTTATATAAAAAAAGATTCAACTAGGCAATTGCATAGCAATTGGTCGTATAGCCTTTTGCCTTTAGGTTTTATATATATTAGGTAACTTAAAGCACAAGCTTGTTAAATAGTTTGCACTTACAATTGTTGTATAACACATGGAGCCATATTGGCATCAAACTAATGGACCCATATGTATTACGGTCTAAACTCAAGAAGGGCCTATATATATAGGGGTGCAACTTGGGCAAGATTAGCCTAAGTCTAAACTGACCTGGCCCACAAATTTACATAGGTTGGGCTTGGATCTTTAGTCCTTAGGTTAGGTTTGAGCCTAAATGTTTGGACTTCCTTAATTTTTGGGGTTGGGCCTAGGCTTAGCCCTTTGGCAACATGAGCCCAACCTGACCTTATTCTAACTCGAGCCTAGCTAAATTATACATGCACACACACACTGTGTGTGTTTATTGACTAACCCAAGCCCAGTGGTTCGGGCTTGAGCCTAACCTAAGTGAACCAAAATTTAGTGCAAGTTGATCTTGGGTTGGACAGATCCAACTTGACCTCAGGCTTGGACCTTAAGCCCAACTCTAAGGGTTGGACTTGGGTTGAACTCAACTATTATGAAATTATTTTAATTACTATGATATTTTATTTAAATAATTTGGTAATTTAATTAATTATTTTATATAGCAAAATTATGGTAAATTCACTAATTTAATAATATTTTACTATTAACTTACTGTTATTTTAATTACTAATATTTTACTTTAAGAATTCATTAAATTAGTAATTTACTATTAAATTACTTTGTTCAAATAGTTCGATAACTAATTAAGCAACACAATTTACATAAATTATGGTAATTTTCAATAATAATTACCATACTTGTAATTATATTTATACTTAATAATTTAAGTAATTGTCAATAATAATTTATTTATGATTACTATTAAATAACTTTGCAATAATTAAAATAAAAATAATTATAATTTAAATAATTCAATAAATATTTTAATTTACTATTAAATTATTTTTTGGAAGAGTTCAATAATTAATAGAGTATTCAATGAACAAAAATAACTATTGAGAGTAATTAAATCTATTTAATTAATCAAATGTATTTATTTATTTTTAGTTGCATCACTTATAATTATAATAAGGTTTTTAATTGATTATTAAATTTTTATTTTACTTTTATTATTTGTCTTGCTGTATTATCTAGTTTTCTCTAATTGTTATTTAGATATTTTTATTCATCTTATTTCAATTTTTAAGTTTTAACTTAAATTGTTTTCAAAAAAAAGTTTTAACTTAAACATTAATATTTCAATACATTGACGAGAAATTGAATGCATGTATTTAGATAGAGATGGAAATAAATATAGATATATAGGGGGAGGGAAGAGACAAGATTAGGATATGTTTTAGGAGGAAGTTTTAGGTGGGGAGATACTTTAGGAAAAAATTAGGAGAGGATATGATTTAGATGACTATACGAGAGAGAGAGAGAGAGAGAGAGAGATTTTAGAAAAAAAAAATAGTGGTGTTAAGGTGGCAAAGGAATGGTATTTTGAGGAGCAAGGAGAAGCTTGATTGCGTAAGGGGAGAAAGGAGAAACCATCTGACATGGGCGCCTTTGTTTTAATACATACTAATAGAAGATTTGATTTTCTCCTATAAATAAAATTGTGTTATTTTTTGATATAATCTATTGTTTTGCCATTTTTTATTTGTACACAATCTAAATCATAATCTATATATATACTAAAGTAGAATGATGCCACATCATGGCTTGGGCTTTCTCCATTACCCCAACAAATAACTCTCAGCCCCTCTCATTTTAGCCCATGGTTTTTAAAACCGACCCAAAGACCAAACCGGTCAGGGGTCCGGCTATCGAGTCAAACGGTCGGCCTGTTTTGACAAAATAAAAATAAAAAATGATCAAAACCGTTCGAACGGTTAACCGCCCAGGTCAGCAGTTTGCTAACCAAAATCAACAATTTTTGAAGAAAATCCGATTTGGGGGAAAACCGAAACCGGTCACCTGACCGGTTCCTGGTTTTTCCGGTCCAATCGTCCAGTCCAGTCTAGTTTTGAAAACCATGTTTTAGCCTTCCTTGCTCTCTCATGAAGGCATATCATCACTCCCTTATCCCTCTCTAATAATGACACCTCATCATGCTTGGCCCACTCGTCTTTCCACTATGTTTATCCCTTTGGATATCCCTTCCTAAAACTATTCCTAAAATCTCTCTACCAAAATCTAATTTAATCTAGCCAAGTGGCACCACTATCCCCCACTTTTCTCCTAAATTATCTCTAATTCCTATTTATTCTCTCTCCCACTTTTCATCTATATCTATCAAAATAAAGTTTGAATTAAAAAATAAGAATTATTTAAATATTGCAATAAAATTATGTAATAACTTTAAAATATTTATTAAAAACACAAAAAACATATCGTAGATTTAATAATATTCATATAATTAATAATTTTATACTTGTCAACACCTATTTTTGTCCAGTCTATGCCTGAACCTTCAATTTGCCCCAAACACCCGATCAGACCCATCCAATCTCTCTGAAACACCCAAATACCCAAAAAGCCCAATTCTTAGCCCCAAAGCCATAAAATCCACAGTTAAATATGTGCGATACCAATTTGATGGTCCCAATAAACATCCACCTATACCTCAATTCTCAAATCAAACACCAGCATTAAACCCCAAACAAACCAAAATACTTACTCATAAAAGTTTAGCAACATTCCTTCATTTACCCTCTATCAAACAAATATTCCATTCTGAGCCATCTCACTAGTCCAGCCCAAACACCCACAACTTAGATTCCCTCGATCTTAACACATCTGCACTGATCAAAACCAGAACGTTAAACTCCAGATACATCAAACCACATCGTTAAAATAGAGAAAAATTAAAGGTGAAGCCTTTAAAAAAGAAGAAGAAAAAGAAAAAGAATTATATATAAAAATGAAAAAGTAAAG